TGCATCAAAGCATGTGTGGAAACATGACACCAAACACTGAAAGCACCAAGAGAGGCACTGCAGGATGGGACCCCGGCCCTCCAGACCACATTCCCGGGCACCCTCCCTGAGGCCCTGCCCTGGGCCACGGTCCTGGCAGCCTGTTCTCTGTGTGTTCCACTTGTCTGCCTTCGGGCCAGTGTCCCTGTGGACCCCCAATCTGAGTTCCCACAGTGACTGGCACTCAGTAGGTGTCAGAGCGGATGCAAGGCCACAGCAGCAGTGATGCCTGTTGCCTGTTTGCTTGAGAACAGTCCTGTCCTGCAGGCCTGCACATGTGGGCTGCTTTCCTTAACCCACTTGCACCCAAGCTCCATGCGGCCGTCAGGCTCAGACAGGTGGCCTGCAGAGGAGGGGTCCCAGCAGAAGGAACAGCATGGGAAGGCTGCCTTCTGCGGTCACCACCGTCTCTAGGAAAATCTGACATTAAGCTTTTCTTTTTCTATGCATTAAAACAAAACCCCAAACCTCACGCTAGGTGTTGCGTACATGCCTGTAATCCCAGCACTCTGGGATACCAAGGCAGGAGGATTTCACATTTGAGGCCAGCCTGGGCAATTTAGTGAGACCCTGTCTCAAAATCAGGATAAAAACAAAACAAAACACACGGCTGATGGTGCAGCTCCCTGGAAAGGTTCAGCAAAAACCCAATGCCAACTAAAACAAAAACGCTTTTATGTTACTCTTCAGTGTCCCATAACTGTCAGGACCACCCAAGCAGGGGCATAAACAGTGGGAGGAGAAGGAAAAGGCAGAGGCAGCAAACAAGTTTCTAATTATACTAAAATCTAAATACCTGTACGCTAAAGTGCTCATCCACTAGATGGCGCCAGAATTAGTCATTTGGGACAAGAAGCTAGATTCAGTACTTCCCTCACTCGGTCACAATCTATCTCAGACGGTTTGGATTTAAATTTTTTAAAACTAGATGAGAAAAGTACCCAGAAAATCCCTCGAGGTGAAAAAGCTTTTAAAAAGACAGAAGCCATACAGCAAAGGTTTGGTAAGATTTCCTATTGTCTTCAAATGCTTCTTAAATACACACTATTGTACTACATACAACAGACATTAATGAAAATAAAAAACAAAGGAAACCTAAGAGAGAACACTTAAGTCACATACACCACCACAAAGGTAAATATTCCCAATATACGAAGAGCATCTACAAATCAATAAGAGAATGATCTACCCTCTGACAGAGAAGGGACTAAGGACTTAGCCAACCAGTGATTTTTTTTTTTTTTTTCAGAACTGGGGATTGAACTCAGGCCCTTCTGCTTGCCAGGGAAGAGCTTATTCCACTGGGCCATCTCCCTGGTCCCCAACCAGTAATTTACAACAGAAGAAATGGGCATGGCTCATAACATAGGAGAAGATATTAAGGGCTGAGTAATAGCAAGGAGCAATACGAAGGAGAAAAATATTCCAATTCTTTCCGACCACTGATCATGCGTTGGTGGCCAGTGCACCAGTACAGCACAGTGGCTTCCTAGGTTTTCCTCCTTGTCCTCAGATCTCAAGAGCAGGGCCCATAACCATACCCCCTTAGCCCCTGGAAGCCCATCGTGGGGCAGGGCTCTGTAAGTTTGCACACAGCTCCACAAGAGACTGTTGGCCACCACACACCAGAGTCACTAGGACCTGTGACCTCCCAGGAAGCGAGGATGCTCATGTGGGGTGAGGTGTCAGGACTCAAAGTGTTCTGTGCAGCGTATGCAGCTCTCTGGGACAAGGACACAGAGAAAAGGCCAGAGGCAGAGGGAAGCCCCAGCAAACTGCCTTTCTAGTGGATTACCTTCTTTCCTCTAATACTTCTGTATATTCTGAGGTTCACAGTATATATATGCTACTTTTATAACCGGGGAGCCACATGTGAAAACCCGGAACGTGGTGAGGCATTTTGCTACTCCACAGTCTGGGTAAACCTCCTGCCGGCACTGCCCACCCGGCACTCCTGGTAGTTGAGAGATCCTTGTGTAGTGAACAGCAGATGCCTGTGCCTCGTTGACTCCCCTGTCTGTGGGCTGCGGCTTCTGCAGCCCTGCTGAAGGTGAGTGGGTGTGGGGATCGAATCCTTGTGTGGAGTGACAAACAAGCAGGTCCTATTATTACCCCTCTTCTAAGGCCCAGAGCTCAGAGAAGTTAAGATCCCCAGCCCAGGTCACACAGCTCAGGTCAGAATGCCGAGTGTCCCACCTGGAAGGGTCCCATGCTGCGGCACACCCACACCCACACAACCACCCTGCTGGCTGCCTTGCCTCCTGCCCCCCCAGGAAAGAGCAGGCTAGGAATACCTGCCAGGAATCGTACAATCCTGCATCAGATCTTAAACCAAAGAAAAGCAGAAAAACCCACTTGGGGCACTCACCTCTCTCTTCTCATCTCGGCAGCGCTCCTCTGCCTGCCCTCCCACTTGCTCTTTCTTTGTTTTTTCCTTTATTCTCCCCGTCTTTTAGCTAATCACTCAGTTAACAAGTTAGCTTTCTGAAGCTGGGTTGGTACCTAGTGACTCTTATGTGCAGGATAAAGAAATCAGCCGTCACCGATACAGAAGTCAGAGGGGTTTAAATCAAATCTTCCTCCACAACAATGACATTAATTATGCTTTTAACACGTTTTACTGCTTTTTTTCTCACTTCACGCCACATCTGTGTGAACAATATCCAAAAGATTTACGGTTTTCTTTCGTAATTACAGACATACAGGCTGCACACTTATCAAAATACTTGCTGAGCAATCAGGCTATATCGCATTCTCTGCCAAAGATTTGTGTTGGCAGCAGTCATTCAAAACAAAAATGTTGAATCAGGACTTGTGTGTGGCTTCGGGGGTGTGTGTGTGGGGGGAAGAATTTCAACAAATAATTTTCCTGTCAAGAAATACACTAACAGGAGTGCAAGCGCATCCCATCCTGGCTTGTTTTTTAGAGGTGGGATTTTTTTATGGTGGGGGTCGGGCGGTGGAGGGGCGAGGGGCCGCGAGTAGGGATGCTCAGAGCACCAAAAAACCCATCTGACATTTGGTTCTTGTGTCTGAGGATAAAATTTAATGAGAACAAAAATATGTCTTCCTAATTCCCCTAAGAAATCATTAAAACATTTTGTTATTCTTAAATGTCTCGAAAATGAATTAGCGCCCCTGAAGGGGCTGTTTGTATGGTACGTCTCCATCAGTTAAGGCTCCTCATTCTCCAACTCAGTGACAGCTGGGGACGTCCCCCGCCCCTCCATTTCTGGGAAGGAGAGCTGGGAAATCAGACACAGGAGTCAGCACCAGCTTGGAATGACCTCTGCACTCCCAGGCTTTCGGAAGTGGGCATAAGGGGCTTCTGGAAAGCGCCGCGTCTGTTCTGGGGCTCTCAGGACCTTGGCTGGCCCTGCACTTCTGTTTCTGGTCTGATATCCAGGAGGATGAAGGTCCTTGGGGACCCTGGCAATGAAGCCTCACATTGCGTGAGGGCTGTAGCCCTTCTCACCGTTTCTTGTGTCTGTCGGCCTCTGCACCCCAGGACACTGGCATGCCCCTGGGCTGGTAACGGCGGCTTAGGTTAGCTATGGTCTGGTCCCCTGTGTCCTGGATCACCAGAATATGAACTTCTGAAGGCTAGCCTCCTGTTTCTGGGTCGGAAGATGGGAATGTAACAAGGGATGGGCTGTGTGAGAAAGGGGGAACTTCATAGGTGTACAGTGGCCCCACGTGGCCACCAAAGTAACCATGCTTCTGTGAGACATACCCAGACTGAACAACACTACTTCCGACAGCACCAGGTAACTTTTTTTCAATTCAGATAAAATTCACATTGCATAGAATTTATCATTTTAAAGCAAACAATTCAGTGACATTTAGTAACTCACGATGTTCTGCCCCTTCTATCTAGCTCCAGAACTTTTTTTTTTTTTTTAAGGTACTGGGAATTGAACCCAGAGTCTTTGCACTGAACTCTATCCCCAGCTCTTTTGCTATTTTTAAATTTTGAGACAGGGTTTTGCTGAGTTGCCAACTGGCCCAAGCTGGGCTTGAATCTGTAATCTTCCTGCCTCGCCCCAGCAGAATTGGGGTTATAGGCATGTGTCACCAGGCCCAGCTCTAGCTCCAGAACATTTTTATCTCTCCCAAAGGAAGGGGGGCCTGGCTCTAGCTCAGTCCTTTAGGGGGCCTGGCCCTAGCTCAGGCCTTTAAGTGGCTGCTTCCACAAAGCTGTCAGCCTCAGGTTGCTGGAGTTCGAACCTCACACCTCTCCCAAAGGAAACGCATTTGCTCCCCAATCACCCCCCCCCCCCCGTTCCCTGAAGTGGCCAATCACTTTGCGTCCCTACAGATTTGCCTTTTTGGGATGTTCCCACAAATGGAATCACGGACCATGTGACCCTCTGTATCTGACTTCTTTTACTTGGCACCATGTTTTGTGAGGTTCAGCCCACTGCGGTATGGGTCAGCACCTCATTCTCTGTCATGGCAGCATAAAGTTCCACAGCACGGAGACCACCTTTAAGAGCTCCCTTCATCCCTTGCTGAATGTGGGGCTGTTTCTCTTTGGGTCCTGTGAGCAGTGCCAACCGACTATGGCTGGCCTGCCTGTGTGTACTCTATAAATGCAGCCATGCAGTAAGTACTCTTCTGGGCCTGGCTTTCTTTTAACATCAAAGTTGAGGTGGACCGAGTCACTCTGGCGGGGACTTGGTTGTCCCTCTATGTCTCCCAGCTGTCCGAGAGCCAAGACACTTTCTGTCACCTGGAGCCAGGGTCTGGGCTTCTGTTGGCTGATGCTGGAAGGTGGTGGGGGACAATCGGGGAGCTGGGGGGTGTCACATCAGATGGGCCTGGCCCCAGCCCCAGAGGGCCTGGCCTTACTGAGGAGCCCAGGTCTGCCCCAGATCCCACCACCAGGAAGCACCTGTGAGGCCCACTCAGGGCAGGTTCTTGTCAGTAATTATTCACTTACGGAGCCAAGTGTTTCTTACCTGGTGCTTCAATTAATTGCTTGTAAACACTCAGAAAAGCCGCCTCCGCCTCCTGACTTCGCTTACTAAGGGCCACCACCTTTGGAAACAAGAGAAAGTGTCACGTGTAGCTGCGGCACCCGGGGCTGCAAGCAAATCATTTTCTACCTATACAAATGTGGGATGGAGAAGGGGGAAATGAAGGTTATGAGTCTGAGCTCTAAAGTTAGGAACTGAATTCAAAACCCAGCTGCACTGTGTCCAGGCTGTGTGACCCTGGACAAATCACTGTCCCTCTCTGATCCTCAATGTTCTCTGTAAAATGAGGAGCATATAACAAGACCTACTTCTTAGGCCTGTTTTGGGGAGGAAACAAAGCTGCCTGTAAGTACAAAGCACAGCAACAGGTACACAGTGGGTTATTTTTT